TATATATTATTTTGTTGTCTGACACTGCCGCTGGCAAATATGGAGAAAAAGCAACAGTGTAGATTTTGCCAGCCGTAAGTGGTCTGAATCCCAAGTAAATCTGCCTAGAATGCCCTGGTGAAAATGTAATCCCTGAAGACGCCAGCAAAAGCCCAGCATCTGCTATTGTTTTTAAAGATAATGTTTTCCACTTAATCTTTCAGAGTTTTTTCCCTTTCAGTTTTTGATGGTGGCTTTGTCACCTCTGGGCCCAGAAGGGAAAAGAAATTAGCATTTAGATGGGAATTTTTTCTCGCATTAAAACCAATTGAAATGGAAACCGGGACTGGCAGCAGGAAAAAAAAGATCCGTGGGATAATTCAGAGATGACATTCATAGCAGGCAGATGATGAACCGGCCAGCAGATCCATTGGCCTTTGCCAATATCATTACCCATTACTCACGTGTCTCATGGAGAAAAGCAGTCCACCAGGCCATCCTTTCTGACCTCCACTCACTGGAGCCCCAAAATGAGCCTCCCACTTAATTCCCCCTCTGCTTACGGAGACTCTCACCAAGAGCAGAGACCTTCCACCTCCCAAAAGGGGCCCAAGGGAGCCACCTCGCCTCTCACATTGTGAGGAAACCTCCTTTGCTGGCCCCAAAGGAGCATGTTCAGGGTCTGAGCATGGTGGCAGATATTTGTTTCCCTGCAAACCATCCCATGGCAGCTGCAAATTTACAAGGACAAGTGGCCTCAGGCACAGAGGGTGAGCCCATATTCCCATGCTAGAGAGCCCTTGACCTTCTCTGCAGGCAAGGTTTTGCCCCACACCATCAGAAGCTCCCTCGCCTTTGCCGTCATGGTACCCACCTCATTTTTAGCTGAAGAGTTTCAGCAATGCTACCCAGACCACTCGCTTCCGTGCCTCCACGACTCACCCTCACCTTAGGTCCCATTTCTGGTGTCTTGGTGGGGCTCCCTTTGCAATCATCCTGTTTGTCTGAAGGCATCCCACCACTCCTCGTCTCTAGGAACCACCCGGACTCTGTCCTCCCTCCCTGGCCCATCAGTAATAGTTCTGTTGTTTCCAGGAGGATGACATGGATGGAATCCACATCGTGGCCTTTGCTGAAGAAGATGACCCAGGTAGGAGACCATTTTCCTCCTTGTGTGACTCTCTGTCACTCAAGAAAGCGTAGTTTCATGTGCTTGGCATTGTGGAGTCCTGCACCCCAGCCGGGATGGGGAGCCCCAGCCTGCCGCCATGGGGAGCCGGGATGCTTCTGGGTGTTTATGCTAGCAGGTGTGCTAGCTGGAATTCAAATTCTGGATACAAATGGATGGCCAGCTGGGAAAAAAAAGGTCATCCTCCCCACCCCAGTGCCAGGATTTGCTCCCTAATGCTGCGTACATCTTGTTGTGTAGCTCCAGGAAAGTGCAGGGGGCTGGGTGTGTGATGGGTGTGCAGGAAACCTGTGGGCATCAGCTCCTGAAAAGCTGTGGCATCGGTGCTTCTCAGTGCTGTCAGCGTGCCAAAAAGCTTTGGCCTCTCAGGGGCTCAGTTCCTCCCTCACTGCAAGAAAATAGTGACATTGTTCCACTCCATGGAAGGATTACGAGACTTAATTCATGTGTAACTAATTTCAATACCCGGGGAGGATGCTTGAAATTAAAAGCCTTATTATCAGAAGAAAGAGCTGGGAGACAGCACTTTAATGAGAACTATAAACAACTCCTGTGTGCATAGGGGGCTGAGGGAAGTTGAAAACCCCACAAGCAAAAAGTGCCTGCATGTTTGCAGGAGAGAACTGCAGCAGTTCGTGTATCATTTCAGATGGTTTTGAGTTCCTGGAAATCCTGAAGCAGGTTGCCAGGGACAACACCGATAATCCCGACCTGAGCATTGTCTGGATTGACCCCGACGACTTTCCTCTGGTGAGTGGCAGGGGCTTCTTGCCTTTCTTGGTTTAATTCATGGATGGATGTGATGGGGGTGTGGGGGGGTGTGTGTGTGCATGAGCACAGGAATTGGCCCAGGGAATTTGGGACAAGGAAGGACGGGAAAGCAAATCACAGAGGATCTCTGAGAGCTGCTTGTTCAGGTCTGCCTCCCATGAAGGCGGTGTCTTGGGAACATCCCCAGAGTCGGCACTTTCCTTTGCCATGTGTGGCAGCCCAACCTTGCATTCAGGCTCTCTTCTCTCCCGTGCACTCATCGATGCACACTCCCCGTGCCACAGCCAGTCAGCTGAACTAATGCAACGGGGTATTGCAAACACCCTGGTCTGAGCTTTGTTTCTCACTCCTGCAGCTGATCACTTACTGGGAGAAGACCTTCAAGATTGACCTGTTCAGACCACAGATCGGGGTGGTGAACGTCACAGACGTGAGTAGCATATGCCCAGAAAATCCAGCGATCCCAAGATTAGGGTGCTAGAAAGGACGGGATCTGAGGTCCACTGGAATCAGTGGGATTTCTGCTGTTAAGTGCAGGTAGACCAGGCTTTTTCCCTGGGGAAAAAAATGTAAAGATCTCATCATTCCCATGTGCAGTGGGTTTCGTAACACCTTCAATGTTGAGCTTCGATCTGAGCATGTTTCTGCTACCACTGAGTTGCACACAAACCACATCTGCTGAGGACAGGACCAGCCCCTGTGGTCTGAGCTTCAGGGCTTTGCCCAGTTTTAGTTTCAAGGTCTCACATTTCCACCCTGACCCACAGCGTGCACCTTTGTTCGTGGCCTGCTCTGGCTCAACTTGGGTGGGTTTGTGGAGGAAAATTGTGCGTGTGTAGGGGAGAAAGCAAGTTGTGCTTAGGGGAGGAGGAGAAAAAGGAGGGTGTTTTTGCAGCAGAAGCTGAAAGGCACAGCTTGAGTGTAGGAGGGAAAGATAGTCCCCAAGAGATGACAGGGAGAAACTCCACAGCTTGAAAAAAACCAAATAAATACACAGCCTTATAAGAATTTGATATAAACTGGTAATAGAGGGATCCTACTGCGGAGAAGAGGGTATACTGGGGTTCATGCAGGCCCTCCTCCTCCTTAGCCATTGCCGTGCGGGTAGTGCTGGAGGGGTTTGTGTGGGAAGAGGAGATGTGTCGGCCCCTTGCCCGGTGGCAGTGAAGATTTTTCATGCTGTCCCGCAGAGGGAGAGCTGCACAGGCAGGTGCTGCTTTGGCCCGGCTGGGGCGGTGGTGGTACCCACAGCATCCGCAGCTGTGCTATCAGGCCAGCTTTTGAGCAGCTTCTGTTTTCACCATCGTTGCCTTCAAGCCACCAAGCCATGGGACTGATGTCAGATTGCCCACATACTTTGAGCTTTTAAGGCAGGTGGGAGAGGGACCTGTCAGACCCACACCAGCAGAGATCTAAGGAGAGCTGCTGAGTGCAATGTAACGTGCATTGTGGCCCTGACAAGGCTACAGAGAGAAACCATTTTTCCTGTTTCTGACAATAACGGTACAGATGATCAGAGAGCATGTAATGCAGCACACTCCAGTCTGGCTTGCTTATTACCTTAGTTTATTTTTGATGGTTAAGTGCTGGGTGTTTTAAGCTTTTAAAAATGAACCTGTGTGGGTATGTAAGTGTCTCTGGAAGCAGAAATCTCTCCATTGCAGAAGTGTTTGTAATTTGGTGCTTGACTTTGTGTTTGAAATTTCAGCTGTATGAGAACCTGATGTGTCATTAAAAGAAAGCAGAGAGGGACTTAGAGTTGGGACAACTGTCCAGGGCTGGGCACTGGACCCACCACCAACCTTGTTACCGGCCCCCACGTCCTCTCTCCTGTACCTCGCCAGAAAAAGAGGGACAGTGAGGGTATACTAGATGATTGTGCCTCCTGTTATAACAAATGCTGCAAGACCAAAAGATGGGAGAGAGGTATTAGGGAAGGCAAAGAGATGGTGTTATGAAGAAATCAGAGGCTCTGGATCTTGCCCGTCCTATTGAGGGGAATGAGAGGCTGGCTTGGGAGTCATGGAGTAGAAGCGGTGCTGGCTGGATGTGAGTGGTGCTTTACCTGTAATAGAGCCCATCCGCCAGACCGTGGGACAGACACATAGAGCGTGAGGACCCAGTGGGCTAAGGCTTGTTAGCAGAATTGTTAAGGAAGAGACAAAAGAGAAGAGGGTCAAGATACCATGATCTGTCACCTAAGATCATGAGGGAAATGAAAAGACAAGCCAGAAATAGAGCCCAAGTCTTCCAGTCTTTTGCCGTTCTAACTAGCCCACAGTATCTCCCTTCATTATATTTAGTGCAGTTGGCCATGTTTAAGTCATGTCAAAGCTACATTAAACAGCTATCAATGGAAATACATGGAAGTAGGATTGTCATTGGCAACAGAATCATATAAAAAGTAGTATTAGGCAGGAACATATGCCTTCTTTTCTAGCGGTCACTCAGAGACTTGTAAAAACTCATGCATTATCTAGCTTTGATACAGTAAAAGCTTCAGGATGTTGATTATGGTATTTGCAGGTTTTATTTCATTCCTCTTAAGCCTGTTTTCTATTCCTCAAGAGAGAGATTTAAGAAAGTTCTAGGTTGGAGGGTGATATCTAAAACAAACACTGAGCTCATTTCGTTATTTCAGTGTTACATCACTGCATTCAGCCAAGTTACACAGGTACAAAGTGGGGCTTACACAATGGAGTAAAAATAAACACTGCTGTTGGCTTCAGTGGACATAACCCCTGTGACCCCATCGCTTCTCTAAAAACCTGCCAATACAAACACCAGAGCTCCCAGCAGCCCCTGTCACATCGTAGTGGCTCAGGACTAGGGCCATGACGCTCTGCAAAATATTGCTGCTTTATTTGCACAGCATCTTCTCTAGGTGCTATAGGCCCACTCCTGTTCCCATTATTTAAAGGTGTCACTTTTTGCTGCATGCACAGTCCTGAGGTTGAGGACAAGATCATTTCCATGAAGCAAGAGCTGCATGCCTCTCCGTGACTCTTCTTTATTAGGTTTTGATATTTTAGGAGGAAAATACTGTAACGGAGAAACAGCTTTCCTTGAGCAGAAATGGGTCTGGCTTTTTAGCAAGCCATAAAACAAAGAGAATTAGGTACTACAGACAGTGAAAGAAGCTGGGTGCATTTGCAAATGCCAGTAGTTATCTTCAGACGTACGAAAAGCACTCGCTTCTGCAACATCAAACGCTGAACGAGATAACCTTACACCACCTCTGCAAAATAGGAGGCTGATCCTATTTTATAGAGGGGATACAGTGAAGGGAAAGGGGCTTACCCAGGCATTTACCCAAGGAACCTAAGCAAAGCAGAGAGAAAACCTTTCATTTCCAGGCCTCAGAGACCACCTAAGCTATGCTTCCTGTTCCTGGGTAACAGCCACAATTTAGACAGCATCTTCTCACTGAATTTTAGACATCATCTTCTTGCTGAATTCCCCCATCCCCTCCAGTTTGTGGAAGTAATGCAGACAGCTGGAGAGAAAGAGCAGGGGGCACCTGTAGTCCAGGGCATTGGTGTTTCTCACCATTCTTCAGCTGGAGCATGGTTGAGATGATCTGAGGAAAGGCTCTTCTACGAGGAGGAACAAGTACCACATGTGGAGAGTCCAGAGCAAAATCCTGAGGCAAAGGTAATGGTAAAAGAGGCTGGGGAGAAGGGGTGCCGACAGCAGGGTGTACAGGCTCAAAGGAAGAGGTCCCAGAAGGGCTCTGGAAGGAAGGAAGGGAAATGATGTGATGTCCTGTGAACTGAGGCAATGTAGTGGGAGCTGGCATAGGTCTCTTTATGCTCTCTTTATGTAGACTCGGAGTCTACAGAACTGGCCAGGGAGGGTGAGGATAACGCATCAGCTGGATGAAGCTCTTGCTCACAGCTGTAGGCAGTGCAGGAGAGGAACAGGCAGCGGGCACACAGCTAACCGAGGGCAAACAGTATCACACACTCAAATAAACACATTGACCAGTCCCACTGGCCCTAGTCAGAAGCAACAGCACTTCAGGGGGAAGTGGTAATCCCAACGCGTGGGAAGAGAGTCACTGTGGCTGAGCCTGCCCTCAGGCTGTGGCAGAGAGGGAGCCAACGCCACCACCACCCCTGCATCCCACCCGTGGTTCAGCCCTTGCCCCCACAGCGGCAGTGAACCCAATCTCTTCCCTGTGTCTCAGAAGGTGGCTAACCCCCCATCACCTGTCCCTGCAGGCTGACAGCATCTGGATGGAGATCCGAGACGATGATGACCTGCCCACAGCCGAGGAGCTGGAGGACTGGATAGAGGATGTGCTTTCTGGGAAGATAAACACTGAAGATGATGATGACGATGAAGATGACGATGATGATGACGATGATGACGATGATGATGATGATGATGACGATGATGATGATGATGACGATGATGACGATTAACTGTGACTCTGTGCAGTTTGACTTGTGGGGGCCGAGAGGCCTTCCCCTGCGGCAGGTCCCTCCATCAGAAGACCTGTGTTTGAGCGTCAGCAAGCACCGCTGCTCCTCTTTCCCCCGTGCCCCGCTCCCCCTGCCCCTGCCCTTGCTGAGACCCCTCGGCCTGATTCTCAGCGGTGCTGAGCCGCCAGGACTGCACCTGCAGGCACCCAGCACCGCTGCAAATCATGCCTCCTTAGTAAGGATGATAGGAATCTGCAGGGAATCTGCCCCAAGTGTCCCAGGACAGGAGAAAAGTCCCTGTCTGCTCGCTGCCAGAGGGACACAGGGAGCCCATGTGTATTTTCCATGCTCATTGGCCCAGCACTTAACATCCAAAGACCAAATCTCACTTCAAGACATAGGGAAGGCCACTGTAAAGTTTAGTCCTTTTATTAAACACAATGCCCTTTGCAGCTGCTCTGCCAAGACCACTCAATCCTGCAAGTTCTGCTGCGGGAGTCTGTAGCTACTCATGAACATGCTAGAAACAGCAAAAAGCTTTGGGAGGGGAGGAAGGTTTTAGGGATGCTATTTAATTTCTCAGTGATTCCATAGAACGACAGGATATTCTTGTCTGGCAGCACAATACAAAACCAAATACCAAGGTCCCTGTCTGAACTTCTTTCTTCTTGAAAGCTCAGGCCAAAGATAGGGTAAGTGCAGGTGGTCTGATGTGGGACATCAAAGCTTGCGAGTTCCTGAACCTCTGGAAAGATTGATCCAGGTCTGAGCCCAAACTCTTGAGGCTGAAGATCATGGCACAGGGCCAAACTGTTGGTCTTAACCCCAAAGAAACACCAGAGCAGACTCCAGGCCAGTTCCAAACACCTGCAGCCAGGTCTGGGCTGGGCCTACCTTCCCTTTCAGGTGAACCTCAGCTGGATTGAAGGTGGTGCACATGAGATACTCCTGCCCATGGAAACATTCATAGGGGCCCACCCTGAAGCCCTCCTATTCCCCATGACCTTCCAGCTTTAGCTAACTTTTAACCCAAAGCCTGCACAGCATCTTTTCCCATGACCAAGACGTTGGGAGGGAGCACATCCGTTCAACCATATTAGATGCTGGATAATGTGTGTTGAGCAATGAGCAGTGAAAGGATTCAAGCTGTTTTCCTTTTAAGTATTCAGTTGCACAGTTACTCCCTGCTTAGAGACTCGGATGTCCCACGGTAGCCCATGAGAAGCCTCTTTTGACTGCAGACTGAGAAGGAGCTCCAGGCACCAGTTCGCAGTCAAGGGGGTCACTCACAAAGCAAAGGGTCAGCAACTCAGTCCCGGCGAGTGCAGCACCATCCATGTGCAGGTCACTGTGACAGTGTTAGGTCTCCCTGCTTTCCCTTGCTGGCAGATTTCAATTGTCTTAGCTTATTAGGTTTGACAATAGTGCAATGAATGGAAAGTTTGGAGATAGTTTTATCTTTATAAATACATTTATAAATATGTTCTCCAGTTGTTCAGACTTGTTAGTATAGGTAGGGTACACACGTCCTCTCTTGCTACAGATGAAAAACATTGTTCTGACCTTTCTTATACTGGCTTACGTCAGAGGTAAGTAATGTTAGGGAAATAACAGTGCGAGGGACAGGAGAACCAGAGCTTGTTATACAAATGCAAATCAGCCTGATGAGAACCAAGGTTTACACACTATATATTTCCTTTATCAGATGAACTGCAAAGCAAGGTTTTATAGATTTTTTTTTCCTGCCTGTTGATCAGTTTCTTTGACTCTCTCTCTCTACATCAGCTGAAATAGAAATTTGAAACTACTGGTATAAAAAAGCTGAAGTACTGATATATTCCTACTTGTGCCATATCCCCTTGGTGGAAAGTGCCAGCATGAACAACACGCAGCTGGATATCTATATATCTCTACATATATGAATGAATACTGTCCTTATATGGTATACGATCGTAGACCACGTTAGCTCCTCATTGACCATCAAACACTCAACCTGTGCTTTTAAGGCACAGCCTATTAGAAGGACAGTCAGGACAGCAAAGCCCCTAGATCAACTATTTGCCCTTTCTTGCTTCTTTGCAAGCACTGCCTGGAATACTTGAGCCAAGCGTGTTTGGGGAGACCATCCAGTTGGTTGCACTGGGGTTATGAACAACTCAGCCCCATCCCAGAGGATCTGGTGGAGACTTTGAAAAGCCTTGAAGTGCAGAGTGGCCTCAGCCCAGAGGTCCCCTCCCCTCTTTCACTCACGCACCCCTCTGTCCCAGCTGGAGGGGTGCCCAGCACCCTCCTTTTGCTCTTTCCTTTCAGCTGTTTCCTTGGGAGATTTGCTGGAGGACCCCGGCTCAGAGAGAGGAAGAGCAAGCTGGACTCAAGGCCTCATTGACGCACATCGGTAAGGGGCAAGAACAGGCAAAACTAGCCATTTAGTAGTCTCCTAGCCTGTGGTTAAGGGACAAATACTCACCTGAGAAAACTACTTGTTCATCTTTACCTTGGGGCTATTCCCAGGAGTAAAACACACACAGTTTCACCTTGAATAAGGTAACTGCTTGCACAGACCCTGCAGCTCCAGATCAGTCACTGCAAAGTGCCATGAATTTCTATAAAAACGAAGTATAAGAAAAGAGTTGTTCTATTGCCTTTCTTAACTGGCACTGTCTCTGGACATCTCGACTGCCTGGGTACTTTCCATGTACCTCCCCTCCCGCTGTGGATGCCCGTCTATTCTGACAAGCCCCTCTCTAGATGCTCCGAGAGGCACTGCTTCCACAGGCAGAGCAGGCAGACCCTGCAAACAGCACTACAGATGTGTTCAAGTGCTCAAGTGTTTCACAGGCACGTACACATTTCCATGTATCAAGCAATAGAGATCTGGGGGGAAAAAAAATAATGTCGTGGTGCTTAGGCTTATACAGAGGCCACTGAGGTCGAGATCATACTGGGGTTGGTGGGCTGGTGTCAGTTGTTTATGGGAAGTTTCCTTTGAGCTATGGGAAAAAGGGTTAATCCTACGGCTGTCACTCCTTCATGGTGCCAGTGCAGTCCTTGATGGGCCCACCCTTTCATCCTCCCATTACAGTTTTCGTCATTCTCTTTGCCTACAAATGGGAACTGTTTATTGTCAGCTTTGGGAATAAACACATAAAAAGTTAAGAAAACATTGCAGCAGAGGAAGGATTGCAGCTATGAAGATGGGCAGGCAGCAAAGCCTCTCCCATTCACCCGTAACACCTCGTCTGCCCTGAGTTCACAGTGACCAAACCACTGAACGAGGCAATACCCCTTGTGAAGGAGGTGGCAGTTTAAACTTGTCTTCCTTGCAGGGACAGGTAAGACAGCGGCATGGGGAGGTATCACAGGCAGGACCCCAGGGTCAGGCGCTCCTGGGCTCCTCTGTCAGAAGTAGACACAACTGGCATTTGAAAAGCACTGGTGGCCCTGAGGAGCAAAGTCAGCCTAACCCTGCCCACTACACACTGAAAACCAAAAGGTCCGTACATTTGGATGAGGAACCAGCAACAAAACCTCCTTTAGTTTAAAGAAAAAAATTGTGCACGTGGGCAGCACTGAGTGTTTCTGCAGGCAAGTCTGTTAAGACTGTCCTTCTCTTAGCAAATAGTTCTTTTTCTCCAAAGTGTTAACTAGACATTCATATTAAATGGGTCTTAATACACATAAAGACAAGGAATCATATTTTGCTCTCATCCAACTGTGAGTGCTTCAAGCTGATCAGTCACTTCAAAGTACCCGAAGACCTAATCTTACTAGTCCCCAAGGACAGTGAGGACCCCCCTCACAAGAGAAAACGTGGCAAGAACACCAAGTTATACACCAGCTCCTCTCGGTCCCCAGACACCGGGCCACAGAAGAGGGGTTGGTTTGGTGTGCTGTACCACAGGCCACCCCGTGCTGCTCATGGGCAACGATCAAGGGAGAGGGAAACCCATCAAGAGGCACATAGTGCAGCTGTCATACAGAAGCATGAAGAAGAACGCTTCTGCCTGTGCAGCAGACACTGATGGAGAGGCTCTGTGAACCCGACACTGCTCTGAGCTAATGATGTCAACCATTTTGGGAAATAAAGGAGAGGGCAAGGGAGGCACTCTAGAAATCAAAGATTACTCCATATTTTCAGGGTCAGTGGTATTCGTGATGTTTCTGAGGAGTGGTGAGAATCTCCTGTGCTGCCCTTGGGAGAGGAATGGCCCCATAGTGAAACCAGAGATCTCGGCTGCTTCCCATCCCAGAACGAAGCTGCTCAGCCAGACGCCAACACGCACACATGGCCAAGGACACCGGCTGCTTCTCCGTGTCTGTCTGCACATCATACCTCAGAAATGATTGATTCATTACCAAGACCAAACACAAACCATCGCCTTTTATTCCCAGGGAAATAATTAATTAGACAGGAATATATCACATCCCAGCTGTCGCTGACTTGCAGTCCTGTAAAAAAATAGGCCAGGATTGCATCTGGATTCCTCTAGGCCCCAGCAAAGTTTTGGCTTTGGGGAAGCCCCACACACAGCCAGTTGTACACCAATGCCTGGACTTGCGGGGCTGAAGAGGGGGAACGGGTGAACAGGCAACAAGCACCAAGGCCCTCCAGGGCAAAGCAAACTGCCTCCTGGCTACTTTTACACCCTGGGTACGTCCATACCATGCAGTGCAACACCATCCCCTAGAAACTGCAAGCAGCAGAGCAGAGCAGGAAGGATAATTAACCTCGGTAACGGGTCTGCACCAGCAGGGCCATGTCCTACCCGAGACCCAAGACTCTGTGTGTCAACCCACTACGCTGCAGCATCCCCTGCCTTTTTCCTGCTCCCTTGTACCGCCGACATCTGGGCAAAGCAGCCCTTTAAGGGGCCGTACCCCTTGGGGCCAGCCGTGGGATGGCTCTAGTACCTGTTTGGCAGAAGATGTCTAATAACAACGCAGACCACATTGCAGGGTCCAGGGCAGAGCCAGCCATCTTGGCCCAGCTCCCAGAATGCTCCCTGCCAGGTTTAAAAGGTGCTAAACTATTTAAAGGGGAAAAAAAAAAAAAAGCTACAGAGCTTCCTTGCAGCTTGAAGACCCATTTCTGGAGTCAGATTACAAGGAGCTTTTAGGATGGAAGCAAAGATCCTTCCCGTGCCTTGCTTCCCCCTTCCGCTCCCCCCTCGCGCCTTCTCTTGCCAAGACCCTGTGATGAAGG